GCGTATTCCCGTGGCAAGTCTGTCTCTTCTTGGAGCCATGAGTTGTGTCCTCAGTGCAAAGTACCCGTCTGTGCCAGCTGAAGAGCTGATCAGGTCACTTCTCCTGGATGGCCAGAGCACAACGGCTGCAAATTGCTGATGGTCTGCTGCTACTTGTGTGAGGAATATACTACAGCTGGCTGCTTCACGGGAGCTACAGACTCGGTGTAGCCCATGGACTAAATTACCGATGTGTTGATTTAATAAATAATGGGATGTTTCTGCATTTCCAGAATGAAACTGTTATGAGCCACGGAGGAACTTCACATTCTGCAATGCAAATCACTGCTGGGTTTTGCTGCTGTATAAAGCGGCATTCCGTTCATTAGTGAATTGATCAGAGTCCAAATAATGTTTATCAATGCTGAACTAGTAGTTTTTGTTAATCTGCAGTGTGTTCAATGGTTGCTCTAGGTGTCCTATTCCAGTCTGTGCCTCAGAAGAGAAAGCAGCAACATAGACTGATACTGGCCAATTTGATTTAAATCAAGAGTACAACCATGGTTGTATAATGTATTTTTATATATATATGAATAGTATGTGTATCAAGTACTTCTGTTATTCATGCATATTTCAAATATGACATATTAAAATTGTTTTACTTCTGTTGTCTGTGCTCAAACAAAGCATTTCTTTCTGCGCTGCTTCAGAAGTGTAGAGAGAGACGGTACCATGACTTAGGTGCACAACCCACAGATTAAGAGACGGGAGCACAAAAGCAGCTTAAAACTAGTAACATAACCTTTTTTCAGCTCTGTGTGGCAACTGAGTCCTCAGTCATACTTCTGATTTTAACACACGTTTGTAAAAAGACAAAAAATATCCATGAGTATTCCATAATGAGTTAGGAAAAATATGCACATTTGGGAGGAAAAACACAGGTGGCTTTGTTAATTAGTAGTGATGTTGGTATAGATCTTAATGCAAAAGTTCATATCAAAAAGCAGGGAGTATGTGGTCTACAAAGAGGATAAGCTGCTTCAACAAGTTATGACTTACCGCTGTCACTTACTTCACAAAAATTTAGTTACGTTTTTTATTGTGTCATGACATGTTAGCAGTTGTTCATGCCAGAACTGCATATTATAAAAGCCTGCTAGAATAATACTATATGCATTTGTGCCCTAGTAAACAATACCATGTAATATATTATTAGCATTTTTTAATAATTTTTTTTAGTTTAAGGATATTTTTTCATAGGGTTTTCTGTTTTGAAATACTGCCTTAATTATAAGTTGTTTTAGATATCTAATTTGGCAGAAAACATTTAACTGGTTTTATACACAGACCTTTTGCAGAAAATGATTAGAAAATAATTATTTCAGTGTTTTCTAACACTTTTTATGCTCTGAAGTAAGCTAACGGGCAAAAGCTTATATACCAGAATGATGTTTTCTGTGCATGAAACCCAGTGTGAAAAACCAGCCCTGTCATGAACCTTCCCAGCTCAGAAACAGAAGGAAGGAAGCATAACAAGAAATGAACTGCGAGTGGAAGAAACAGGAATATAATCCAGGTTTGCAAACCCTCCTGCCAAACTTCTACCCCCTGGTCCGCACAACCCAAACAGAGCAGCTCATCTTCATCCTGCCATGTGAAATGTTTCAGGCAGTGCATTATGGAAGTCTCTGGATTATACCATGTTTAAAAAATTATTTATTGTATCTGCAATTTTTTTTTCAGATATTATAATATTCAGGCTGTTTTCCATAGAGGACATTTCCTGGCATGACACAGTGTAGCAGCAGGCAGAGCTACCTGGACTAGCTGTGAACATCTTCCCCGGCTAACACTGCATGTTCCCACCAGCCCTGTTGAGCCACTGACGGTTGCCAGCTCGGACGGAGCCCGGCACTGCTGAGCCTGCCTGGCTTCCCGGGATGGAAACAGACGGATCCTACCTCGGATGAGTCCTGCCTGGGATAATACTCTGTTCCATGCAGTGAACAGCTCAGTGCAAGTGAGTGAAACTGCTTTCAACTGCTGAAGTTATCACATCTGTTTCCATTCCTTGAGGTTTGAAATGGGGAAATTGTCATTCTTTTGAAATTGCTTATGTTTTAGCCATAATTTTTATCAGATCAGCTTTGGAATATTTAATAAATTATACTTTGAAAAAATGTGTGGAAACAGCATTGGAAAAGTCAAGTACCTTTTTTTGAAAAATAAGCCTGTTGTCAAGACAAAAATCAGAAGACTTTGAGCCTGAAACATTTCTGCCATTTTGGATTGACATTGGATGACAATTCCTCTCCTGAAAAAGAAAGGTGTCTATGCTACTATATGGTGACTATATTTTATATTGCCACAGCAATTCCTTGTTTGCTACCTTAGGTGTCACAAATCCATGTGAGAAGGAAGAACTTGTTGAAGTTCAGCTTAACAGCACTTCACGGTCAGCACAACAAAGCCCTTGATTGGGATGGCCTCAATAAATAATGCCTGCTTCTAAGTGACTGTTCTGGTGTATTCAAGTACTTTTCTATATAATTTAGAAGGTGCTTTTGATTTGTAAATTAATACTTCCTGCAGGGTTGTCTTCACTCCTTCTTTCCCTGCTCTGCTAGCATAGGCTCCAGCGATATATTCACACTTGGGTGTGAACTGAGAGGAGTTCGGCTCCTGTGGGGTTCTGGCTTTGCCCGCTGGACTTGGGCACTGCGGAGGACGTGCTGGGTTCCATCAGCCTCCCGAGGCCACTGCTCAGCCACTCGCCCACATCCCCACACCAGGCCACGAGCAGCACGACCCTGCGGGGACCAGCACGGCACCTTGCGGGCACGGTGCTGAGCAGGAGCTGGGAGGGGGGGTGTGCACAAAGCATTCCCGGGCACTGCTGCCATCCAGCACCATCCTCCGCAGCCTGAGGAACCTGAGGAGCCTGAAATAGATTTCTTGATCACTATACCTCACAGTGACTTTCTTTGCTGTGGAGAAGACTGAGCCACTCTTGACTCCTCTTAAGAATTCAGACTTGCATTTTTCTCGAAATACCTTATTGCTTCTCCTTATTTCTGCAAGGTTCTTTTTCCAGGAGAGAGGCAGGAGAGGCCCGCATGGCAGGGTGTGGAGAGGAGCACGGCCCTCCAGCATGTGCCACCACAGCTTTGGGAACCTGCACCACCTTGTCCTCAAATTCCTCCCTGCTGCCCTCCATGCCCGCAGGAGTGTTTGAGTGGAAATGATGCTGATGTTAGAAGCTGCAAGATTGCACGGGGCAGTGGGGTTGCCCAACGTACCCTTTTGCCCACGTGGCTAAGCACAACACCACAGGTAGTCACCAGTTCCTGACTTCAACCCTACTGTAGTTCCTACCAGCTTTCAGGAGTGGTGTATGAGTCCTGTTCCCAGTCCTTCCTGTTCTCCTCCCTCCCTGCTCTTTCCATAGGTAGGACCACCGTCGTTTGTAAGAGATAAGCTGGCAGGTGGCTGGAAAACAAGGATGGATTTTGCCCCGACCCTTTTTTTTAGGAAGAAGGTGTGATTGTATGATGTGTACCGTTAAGCTTCTGATCACTTTTGGTTGTATTGTGAAAGAATCTTTGAAGGAAAGCTAAGGGAGAGGTTTCTTGACGTTTCATGACTGGGCATGATATTTTACACTCCTTCAGGACCGTCATCCCATCTGTACATGCAACCTTTATTGTGGGTGCA